TTACCTCTATTCGGACAGGCTAAAATGCGGGCCTTTGAGGTCTCTAGAGCCAAGACGGGAAAGAAAGAGACGCCAGGGAAATCGCCAAGGAAGTAATCAACATTGATGTAGCGAAGATTCGGGACCTTAGATGGGTTGGATCACCATGCACCAAGAGCGAACTTTTCCCTGTCGAGAGACCGTCCATGAAGCTGATAAAGCAGGGAAAACTAGCACCACCTGATTGGAGAGACTGGGCTCAGCCCGTCGAAGCTCAAGTTATTGGCACGACTACATATGATGGTGGTGTGTTTTTCCACATGATTAGCAAAGATAAGAGTCGTAAAGACCATGCGAAGAGCTTCAAATGCATTTCATCCAATGTTTTAGGTGCGTTTAATGGCGAGGAGCTTTGTGAGATCTACGGCATCACGTCCAACAGTGAGGACCCGGACGCACTGCAGCGCATCTGTCTCTTCGAGAGCGATATTGACTACTTTGCCGCTGCCTTGTGCGATGCAGAAAGCGGGCTGGTGGAAAACACCTACTTTCAGATCTTTGATCTCCCTGACCCATTTCCCGGATCATTACCAGAGCCAGGTGTCTTCGCAACACACGCGTTTGATATTGTGACTATTTTGGGCGGCATTCATGAAGACAGGCTACCGAAGGAGTATATGCCAGTTATATCACGTTGGCGGGATATTATTCTGGACTTCACGGCAAATGGGACCCCTCCTTGTTTGCCGTACCATGGGAATTCTCAGAGTAGCGCAGATCGAAGCGCGCTGCTTATCGATCAACATGGTGTACGTAATATTGGATGCCATGAATACATGGAAAATGATAACCGCAGGCGGGCTAGGTTATTCGAGCTCGCATACAAGGTCGCTGGAGATGATGGGTTGGACATTCTTTCGGTAGACATATGCCAGCGTTTCTTGATGCGCGGCGAGTAGATTTTTATGGCGAATAGACTGATTGAAACATCAAAAATAATCCATGTTCACTTGAATGACAGATTAGGAACTCTGGTGACGTGCTTGTAGACAGTTTTTTGGGCGTAACATGTCTCCTGCGTGGCGTTGTAATCTTCCGTTGAGCTTCGGGGTGAATACAAATGTGCAATGCTTACTTTGAATCACGGGCGGGAGTTCATCAATAGAAGCTATTTTCAATAATATTGTCCTTGCAAACAATAAAGTGGATCTCATGCGCCCTGTAGGTCCTACTGCACAAAGATGAGGTGAAAGTGAGTTGAATACGCTATTACACAGGCTGTCAAGCGCGGTACAATGCTTCTTAAGTGCACGGCCAATAGTTTTTGATACAAACTATTGTGCATTGATTCCCGAATGACGAACAATAGAGCAGAGTTCCAAATCCCCATAGATTGTATTGTACTCAGCGGAGGTGGAAACAAGTTGAATGCGTTGGTGACCGCGCTGCCAGGGAGAGTCCTCTCACTTGTGAACATATAAGGCCATGGGCATCCTCTCTTAACTTGAACTCTAGCTCCACAATCCTCTTCCTTTGACAAAAAAGAACTTTCCAAAGCACACAAGCATCCTTTTCTGCAAAACCTCCAAACTTTGGACCAGTCCCCGCATCCAAGATGAATACCATCAGCAACCCAATCGAGGGCTATGGCCCAGCCACCTACTACCAGCCCGCCGATCCTCTCTCCCTCCTCCTCATCGCCTTCTTCTTCCTCCTCCTTGGTGCCCTCACGGCGGCTGGATCCGCCTTGGTCTTCTCGCTCCTCCTCCGTTTGCCCTACCCTGTCACCACCCACCACCTGATTGCCGCGCTCGCCGACAAGAGGCACCCCATCCACCGCCACTTGAATGCACAACTCCAAAAAGGCATCGGCGCGGCAGTCGGGATGGTGGTCGGGTCTTTGGAAGACAGGGTGGGCCAGGTCATCGAGACCCACTTGCTGCACGAGGCGGTCGTGCAAGCCCTGGAAAAAGAGCTGGAGGCGCTGAGGCGTGACATATCCGGGCGGCAACAACATGAGGCTGGTCCTCATTCCAAGCTCAGGAAGTCACTCAGCGGCCTCCAGGCACCCAGGGGGGAGGGCAGCTCGAGCCCCAGAAACGACGACGACGACCTCCTCGCCCCCAAGACCCCCACTCCCTCCTCATCCCCTCCCTCCTCCCTCTCCTACTCTCCTCTCTCCTCTCGGGACCCCAGCCCTCTTCCCCCCAGCCCTCATCGTCACGACTCCGACAGTGACAGCATCCATGGCTCAGACCCCGGTCAGCCAGCGCAGACTCAGATTGAACCCCCTGTCATGGACGAGGAGTTTGATGACGAGCTGGCTGCGCTAGCCGGATATGAGTCGGACGGTGCTGGTTCGGCGTCAGAGCTGGACTCTGACGTTGACGCTGAAGGGGAAACGGACGATGAGTATGTCCCTCCTCCGGTCGAGAGCGCGAGCGCCTCTGCCCCAATTGTCGCTCTGCCCGGCCTTGGAAACTTGGCCAAGAGGCAAATCAAGCCGCTTGCGAGCTTGAAGACTAAGGGCACGCGCCGCTGAATGGTTTTGATGATGATGATGGTGGTGGTGGCGATGATGACGATGAAGATGGTGCTTGGATCTGGGCATATTGCTGTATTTGTAGACATTGACGAGAAGGAATAAGCACACTATTATCATGCCTTGTAAATCCTATTTTCGAAAATGGCCATTTGAATGAGAGACATTTGATGACATGCTAATACTCTTGGTGGACGTTTCAATATACCATGACATCGACCTTCCGTTCGAACAAAAGACGGCACCTTGCCAAAGAAGTGAGATTGGAAGTGTCTAGGAATGGCCAGAAAGCAAACAAATTTAGTTCCTAGTTGTTAGGGCAGTTTAAGGCAAGCCTAGAGGCGGCTGAGGTGAAAGGGCTACTGGTAGCTGCTTTCCACGAACGGTCGCGGGAGGCATCACTCGCTTGTTACATAGCACTGTTGCAAAAGGAAGGTTTTCGTTATTAATCGCGCCTCACACAGTCTCTTGATGTAGGTTGTTTTGCACGGATTAAGTTGCCAGGCTAGTTGTGTTGAACTCGCCGCAATTCCCACCACTAGAAAAATTCGTATCATAACAACACTCAGTACGGTACAAAACCAGTTTACAGTAGCCATATTTATCTAAAGTAGACTAAGAAGTAGTTTAGGTAGAAGAAGTAAACCTAAATAGGGTTTACTATACTATATATTCTACTTTTACTTCTACTTCTATTAATCTACTAGTATTACGTAGTAATAACTAGTTTCCTACTAACTATCTAAATATTTTACCCCTCCTTTCTTTAATCTTCTTTACTACCTCCACCTCCACCACCTCTATTATCACCACCTCCACCACCTCCACCACCTCCACCACCTCTATTATCACCACCTCCACCATCTCTACCACCTCCACCACCCCCACCTCCACCTCTATGACGACCTCTATCACCACCTCTATCACCACCTCTATCACCACCTCTATGACCACCTCGATCACCACCTCTATCACCACCTCTATCACCAGCTCTATCACCACCTCTATCACCACCTCTATTATCACCACCTCTACTACCTACACTACCACCTCTATCACCACCTCCTATTAGTAGAAATATTATGACTTATTATTATGTTATATATGCATATAGCGTAAAGCTAATCTTCTCTACCCCTTTTAGTCTTAGTTAGGTATCATAGTGTATAATAGAAATAAAACCACTTTTTATACTTAATTTAAACCCCTACTATAAAAGTAAACTACCACTTTAATAAAAGTAAACTACTACTTTAAACCTATTTATAGGTATACATAAGGGCAGTTTACACCTATATAGTAAACCCCTAGGTCACTATTCTACTGTAAACAATTTTGTACCGTAGTGTTGTAAGTTGTAGCATGGCAGCAGACTGGACACTGGAGACCATAAGGCCTATAATTGATACGCACAAGACGCTAACAGCATCTCCTAGATACCTAGGGCTCGGCGGACGCTCACCTATACCGAATTTTTCGCTGTCTTGGCCAAGTTTTAGCTACGGTCTCACATATCTGCTTATATATCTGCATCAGGTATAATGAAAGAGACTCAATTCCGTTACATTACATTAACTATGGGGCACGCGCTGAATTTCTACTGAATTTCTTCGCTGCTGAAATCACTTCCCCAAATATTACTTTACTAACAGGCAGTGTGGTGCTGTATATGCGGAGATTTACTATTGTTATAACTTACCTCAGTGTCTTGATGTATGATATATTTCGCATCCCCTAAGCTACTATTGTTTCGAACGTTCCTTCTCCAACTGCGGACTGACTTGAAAGTAAGTGATCGTCGCTGTCACCAAGGGTACAGATTCTGGCACATGCTGAAGAGAGCTTACTCAGCTGAATGGTAAGGCTCTGTTCCCCAAACACACTGATCCACAGTAAAACCAAGGTAATTCATGCATATACAGCTTGTACCATATTGGACTACAGTTAAATGTACTCCGATCCAGATTTCAAGTCACTGCTACCACATGATTCAGCTCTGGATGAACATATAAGCATATTTCAGATCCTCCGTTTCATTTTTGAGATCCTCGTGCAATGAAAGCTGCTAGCTGCTGCGCATCTTTTTCCCATGAAGTGCAAATTGCTCCATCCTAGATGTCGCGAATTCGAACGCAATCAAGCTAAGTTCCTGTCCGTCTTTTCATCGAATGTGCTGTTGATGGGAGATCTCGTTGTCAAACATTTCTACAACACACCATATTCTCGAAATTGCCACGGACATGCATTGATTGGGGAACAGATTGATAAAGCCCTTCTACAAGCTCTGCCTAGCGCAATACATAGCCTCTCTCAGCACGAGAAACTCTGAAGAATCTTTGTTGTTCAGAGTTTTGATATTTTCCATGCTCTAAAGGTGATTATTACATACGTGTATTGAGTGTAATATCTTCGCGGTCACCTGGCCCTGCATCATGCCATCGAGTCCAGACTCACAAGCTGGCTTGTGGCTCGGCTGCTTGAAAACGTGCAAGATTGCCTGACGGAAGCTGAGTAGAGAAATCGAAGCGCCGATGTCAAAAGACTGATTTTGAAGGTTTTTTTTTGCTATCAACTAAAGTATTATTGGCCATGTTATATCCAGCACCCAGCAGTCCACTGGCAGCTCCTAATACCGTACCACATGAGGATCGCGAAACACTTGGGCATATACAACTTCCGTCGATTTCAGCTCTCGTAATGTTGGCGTCGGGTCTTCTCTTGTTCTTCTATGATATGGCGCAAATTTTGTGGCCTGTCCCACAAGAATCATTCGACCTATACAAGTTGTAATTAAGCCTGCTCGCGTAGCAAAGCCTTGTGTACGAAATAACAAGGTCAACGGTATCAGCTATACTGTGCTGCTGTTAGCAACATGGGCCGTAGGATGCCCCAGAACGAAAGTGTTTGTAGCAAACCCTCCGACTTTAAGATGCTCAAGACTCATAGAGTACCAAGATTGTAGTGATATACTGATTGTGTGGGCTGTCAGATTAGGAGGCAGGCTATGGGCGACTTTGGAGTAAATAGGCGAGCTCATCTATGGGCGAGAGAGGAGAGAATGGTAACCTATGAAGTCAATAATGCGTTCCTGGTCGTAAAAGGCGAGGGAAGAGGGCGCAAATTTGAAATTGGCAGTGATGAAGAAGAAACGACCGATGGCCACATGCTCAAACGGGGTCACACGATAAGACCCGCGCTGTACGGGATTTTGACGCGATTTATGGATTTTTTCTGATCCAAGGGGAAAATGCATATCATGATTCTATATGTATATTATTTAGATTCATAGAGACAAGTCATGGCAAGCATGGCATGGTGAGGTAGAGGAAAGACGTGACGGGGTGGCAACATGCTACCTCTTGATCGGCTATAGACATTTCAACAATATATGAAGAAATCCCTTTCTGGGCACTTTCGTCAAATAGTCTTTTGTTTTTAAGCGTGCGAGATTAGCGTTAGATGATTCGTAGATATGATAATCAACCGTAAGGTCGAGATCGTCTTCTGCGCTTCTGTTGCTCGTAGCTCGAATGTTGTTGGAGATCCTGAGAGTATGTCGAGTAGATGGAACGTTGGTGCTTACGGCCAACCTCTGGAGGGGTCTCGTAGACCAGGACTGAGCTCTGCTGGTCAACTCCACTGGAATCTTGGCGGCGGGACTCCACGGGGCACTGCATCTGCTGATACCACTCTTCGTCTTTTCTACCGTCACAGTCACTCACTACAAGCTGAGATTGTTCAGCAAGCGGCGTCACCTCCTCAGCCACCAGAACCGATTCATGTGTCTCTCCATATGATCGTGTTTGTGGTAATTTTTTACCAGCTATTTGCTGGAAGAAACTTTTGTGAACATTTTTTAGACTCTCCGAAGACTGTTCAGAATGGTTGTCGCCCGCAGAGTGTTGGTTGCTGCCAGATACAGCTATGTGACGATCTAGGCTTTCCCGTAGAAAATCATCTACGTCGCGCAATTGAGACTGCCCCCGACTCGCAAACTGGCCAGTCTTGTGATCTTGCCAGATAGAAGGCAAAGGAGTATCAGTGCGCCAGATGTTAGTGCTGGAAGTGTCCTGGGCCAAGCTTTCTTGGGTTGCTTGGGTTACGCCCTGCGGTATAGACTGAGAGAAAGGCGAAATTGATCCTTCACCTGGGCCCTGTTTGAAGAAGGCGCATTTGACGGGTCCGGGCACAAAAGTGGAGATACGTTCGACCAATTTTAAATTTCGCTCGCGTGGCTTCCATTCTTTGATAGAGCGGGTATACAGCTTCTGAAACTCTTCGGCGTAGGCCGAGAACCAGGGATGATAAAGTGCTTCAGTAGCCGTCATTCGAGCTTCTTCGTCAAGAACCAGAAGCCTTCTGATGAAATCCTTCGGACGATTACCAATTGTCGCCCAGACCGGATGGTGTTTATCATCAAGAACACACAGGTCGCATTTCCCGGCAAGGGTCATGATGACAGATCGGGGATCCTTCTCATACTTTGGATGCGTACGATCGGTGAAGATGACGTCGCCAGTAAGTACAGTAGCTGTGACTGACCCAATAGACCACATGTCCACACTCTTTGAGTAGCCTTTGTCTGTTGGGATCGTCTTGTTGGCTTTGTGTATCTCTGGCGCAGCAAACTCCAGGGTTCCGACATAGGAGAACATGCGCTGTTTTTGGTTGTTTGCAATATGGCTAGTAGGTTCGGCATTTGGCAGGAGTCTTGCGTTGCCAAAGTCGGTGATTACAACACGGGCGCCGTCATCGAGAGATGTCATTAGAATATTGTCTGGTTTAAGATCGCGATGCACAATGTCGTGGTTGTGTAAATACTCGACGCCTTTCAATACTTGGCGTATGATGACGGCCGAATGAATGCTGCTCAAACGACCACCTTTGAATTCAAGAAAAGAGAAGAGATCTCCACCAGTGACCAGTTCCTGAAAGAGATATATAGTGTTGGGACTCCAGAACACCTTCTCCAGGGCGACCACGTTGGGATGGCTCAAGTCCTTTAGAATGTCGAATTCACGAAAGCAATTGGCAACCTTGGTCGGCCATCGCTGTTTGGTGACTAACTTATGTTCTCCTCGCTCTCCTGTGGCAAACTCCAGATTCGAAGTAACGAGAGCATCGTGGAGATGATCTATTCGTACAACCTTGCATGCAAGCTGTCGTTGCGTGTCTTGGTTTATACCCACCAAGACTCGGCCATATCCACCTTCACCCAGCATCCGGCCAGTAACAAGATAACGCGAGGCGAATGATTGCTTCTCGCGTTGCTGGACGGGCGACAGTACAGCCTCTTTACCATGTGTCTTGGAAGTATATACTAACGTCACAGTATCCGAGATGCGAAGTTCATCGCCGTGTTCTAGAAGAAAACAATTGCTGTTGCCCATCAGGATCTCCCGGCCCTGTGACCCAACACACGCCGTGTTTCTTTTCTTCAAGTAAGTACCATTTGCTGATAAGTCTGTGGCATAGACGAGAGGAGCAATTTGAGCGACGGGGTCTTGTTCATACAAGATACAATGAATACGAAGATGCTTCCTTGATATGGTGAGGTCGTCGCTCCAGGAGTAGCGACTGGTAGTGGTTAGAGCGAGTTCATACCATGAGTGGAACGAGAGCGCTCTCACCAAAGCTCTGGGTCCCTCCCAAGGTAGAACTGCTCATTTCCACAGACCTCGATATAACCGCCATGGGTGTCTAGTTGCGTCAGTCAATAGCATCCCGGGTGCGGCTCGTGATATACCAAAAGCCTCGACGCCAGCCACCTGTATGGATAACCATGCGACAACTTCATCTGCCATCTTTCAGTGCCTTACCCACACCTATTGATGGATCTTCAGATAGGTATGCATGAAGCGTGAAGCCTACTATAGGTGGTGAGCGCGACGCGTGAAAGGTTTGCCAAGGTGCGCCTTGCCCATTACGTGACGTTAGCGCAATCGCTTAAGCGAGCGGGGCACGCACAACAAAGAGCTCAGAACAGCTGCAGCCCACCTTCTCTTCTGCAACCCACGACACTCATCTCCAAGCAATGTAAGTGTGCCATTGCGCCTCCAAATTTCCCCTCCAGGTTCCCAATCAAGCCCACCGAGCTGCATCCTGAGCAGCTTCATCACGTCCGCGGATGCATTCAGCTGGAGCGCATCGCTAACCTCACCCTAGCCAGCCGACAAGATGAGAGCCAAATGGAGGAAGAAGCGCGTTCGACGTCTCAAGCGTAAGAGAAGAAAGACGAGGGCTCGTTCGTACGTATATACCGGTCACCTTTCAAGCCGAACTCAAGTCTAATAAACCCACAGCAAATAAACGCCTCGCCCCCTCAATCTCAGCAACCACGACCTCAATTCTGAACGATGACGACTCGTAAACGACACGTTTTCTACGCACTGCTTTCCGCCCAGCTTGCGACATCATCTGCCGACTGCATTACGTCATACGGCAGACACGCGACACGCGAGCTTTCAACCATCACCTCGGAAGGTTTCGATTGTGCTGGATTGGGGAAAATGATGGACGCTGGTCAATGCCTCTATTGAGAGCTTCGAGAGTTTACTTGAACACTGCTTCGATGGTCATTCTAACACCGACTCGTTCTCTTTTGTGGAGGCTTGTCTTTGACTGATACATCGCCGTGTGGACATGATGATAACGGAATCAACAATGCTTCACGACAATGGTGTGCCTTCTGATTATGTGCGAAATATTTGGTGATGTCTGTTGCACTCATTTGACTCAATCGTTGCGTGTTCGAAGGGTGGACTTTTTTCCATGTGATCAGTTCAGGAATTTGCCCAACCAACAGGCTTCATGAGACGTCAACCCTCGTTTTACTATGTCGTTTTACCATTGTATGTTGTTGCCTACATCATGAATTGAAATTCCAAACATGCTCAATGATGGCTTGGGAGCACACAGCTATACTATGCGACGGCAATATCAACGGGCAATGTAAGATAAGAGAACTTTAGAGGAGTTGAAAGCACGACTATCAAAACCA